ATCTGGGTGTTGTGCTTAAAGATAGGCTACATGGTCAACATCTAGTCATCGACACCTCACTGCGTGCCTTAAAGGGACATTTAACCAATAAAAACCCATCAAAAGCCCTCGTTTTATCTTTCCATGGATGGACAGGTGGAGGAAAAAATTTTGTCAGTCGGTTCATCGCTGAGAGCCTATACAAGAATGGGATGAACTCAAAGTTTGTGAACCTGTTTATAGCAACTCATCATTTTCCTCATGTTAGTAAATTAGAGATATACAAGGTGAGTATTGTAGAAGTTGAAAGTAAAATCTTATTTGTTAAATAAAGGAGCAATTAAATGGCCATTTTCATGTCACCACCAGAAGTTGTTGAATTTGCCCCGGGTGATGTCAAATCAGGTTACTATAGTAACCATGAAATGAACCAATCAAATAATAGAAGCTTTATTTTTGAGATTTTAACTCATTAATGTTTAGGGAACATCTGTGCCAGGTTTCAAGATGATTGGTCAAGCAGCATTGAAATGGCAATACTTTTGACGTTACTTCTGGATCACCCTGTATCACGCGGTACTAACTCACCGGGGCGTATCGAAACCAAAACGCCCCGCAAAACCGTAAATTTGAATTTCAAATCTACCCTGTCTTTGGAAAATCAATGATTGTGAGTGTCACACTACACCGTTTTCTTAAAACTTGTTCCATTAAAACCTTCACAGAAATATCTTTTAGTCGAGACATTGCTTTTGTTTACAAAGTCCCTCGTTTTAGCGGCGTTTCGGTCCCCAGATACAGGGTGACCCAAAAAAAATGCAACCCTCCATTTCTTCAATATTTTTCTTAAATGGAGGTAAATTGCTCTGAGATTTGGTACACAAGGACTTCATTCAATGTGGGATCCTCTGGAAAGTTTTAATAATCATAGTCTTATATTAATAGAGTTATGGTTGTTTCAAAATATGCTCCAGATGTCGTCAATTTCGCTGAAAACAAACCTGCAATGTTCAAGGAAAACTGTTCATAACACGGATGCATTCTTTGTCAAATTTTGCAGCCATTGCATGTTGGAATTCTGCAATTGCGGTAAGGTTATTTTCATACACATTATCCTTTAAATAACCCCATATATAGAGGTCAGGGGCATTGAGATCAAGACTGTGGGATGACCATGGGTTCCCCGTCCTAGGAGAGATACTCTTCTAATAGAAATGACTAGTGAGCCAGGCTATGCTATCATTAGAAGTGTGAGGAGTAGCTCCATCCTTCCAGAACCACTCTTCTTGTCTATTGAAGCCTCTATGTCAGTCTAGAACCCCCTAGAACTTCCTGGGAACGCCAATATTGCGCTGTGTGTTAACAGTAACAGTGTTGCCATTATCAACCTCATACCAAAAGGGGCTGATAGTTTCATGTTTGGAAATTGGCAGCCCAAGCTGTGCATTCAACAGAATGAAGGGGCCTTTGAAGCAGTTCATCTAGAATTTGTGATCCCAGAACACATTTTTTCTTGAGTTTACATGTTCAGAAAGAAGGGAATGTGATTCATCCAAAAACCTAATATTGGAAATGGACGACATTTGGAGCATATTTTGGAACAACCATAACTCTATCAATATAAAACTATGATTATTGAAACTTTGCCAGAGGATCCCACATTGTGTCCTTGTGTGCCAAATTTCAGAGCAATTAACCTCCATTTAAGAAAAATATTGAAGAAATGGAGGATTGCATTTTTTTGGGGTCACCCTGTATGAGAAGTTGCAAATCCTCAGAGATTTCAACCACAATCCTTGATATCTCGCCAGTTCTTCTATCACTCTCCCCCATATTCTGCGCAAGGACTCCCATTACAACCCTCCATCGCTGCATCAACATATTTATTACATGAAACGCAGCAATTCTGAAAAGTCCTACGCAACTGTTTGAAATTGACCAAAACGCCCTGCTGTCTTCCAAAATGACCCGCAGAGTCTATGACTACAAACGTGTAGTTTCAAGGTGTATAGATCCAACTTCTGGAACGTATAGATTTGGGAAAAGAACAGGGCATTTTGATCAATTTCGAACAGATGCGCAGGACTTTTGGAAATTGCTGCGTTTAATGTAATAAAAATGTTGATGCAGAGATGGAGGGTTGTAATGGGAGTCCTTGTGCAAAATATAGGGGAGAATAATAAAAGAACTGGCGATATATCGAGGCTTTTGGTTGAAATCTCTGAAGATTTGCATCTTCTTACATCTGGGGACCAAAACGCCGCTAAAACGAGGGACTCTGTACACAAAATCAATGTCTTGCGTGACAGGTATTTCTGTGAAGGTTTTAACGGAACAATTTTGAAGAAAAGTGGTGTACTGTGAGACTCACAGTCATTGATTTTCCAAAGAAAGGGTAGGTTTAAGATTCAAATTAACGGTTTTGCGGGGCGTTTTGGTTTCGATACGCCCCGGTGAGTTAGTACCACGTGTGTATATATGTGTACTGTTATTGTCTTCAACTTTTTTATGGACTGTTTGGTGGTTGGTGCTCGGTGTCTGTAAAAATGGCAGGTGGTAACATTTTGCATGTTTGTCATTGTGTTTCATTTTTCACCATTAAGCTACAAAGGTCACGTTCCTGTATGAGACCAAAATACCCAAGACCAATATTCGATGAAAGTTCAAAGCTAATTTTTGAGTTGACAAAATGCAAAAAGGAACTTTATAGGTTGGCATTGCTAGACCTAACATAAGCTTGATGCAATGATGTTAACAAATAACTTATATATAAAAATAGTTTCCAAAATGAACTTTTGATTTTGGTCATCATGAAACATCACCCTAAAAGTGTCAATTCAGATGAATCATATGGTAGTGTTAGAGGGCCACTGTCATAAATAGTGAATATTGAAGTAAATGAATAAAACAAAATATCATGTTTATCTATTACAATTTAGCATCCACCAACCTTCAATTACTCTTAGAGAGGCTTTTATGATACATTATTTTTACTGATACATTTTTTGCTTGTAGGATCAATTACGAGAATGGATCAAAGGGAATGTCTCAGAGTGTGGGCGCACTCTATTCATATTCGACGAGATGCAGAAAATGCCACATGGTTTGATGGACACTATCAAGCCATACATTGACCATTACGACAGTATCAATGGGGTAGACTATGGAAAAGCCATATTTATATTTTTAAGGTAAATTCATAGTAAAGCATTGACATTGTTCTATTGGCCAGTCATAAAACATTGCCCAGCGAGTTTTAAAGTACTATATACTACAGGCCCGTAGCCAGGGGGAAATTCTTTCAAAATCATGCAGTTTTTCATCATTCTGAGCACTTTGTAAGTGATTTGGGAGATTTTTGGACCAAAATTGTCTAATGTGAACCCCCCTTAGCAAATCCTGGCTATGGGCCTGTACTCTACTCTCTAGTTCAAAGCGCATCTTCTGAATTCTCTTGTCGTTAGGTGGTGCCTCGATTAATGATTTCCCTGGGGTTTAATCAATGTTGAACAATTAGATGATAATAAGGTGATAAATGAAAGCTTTAAATGTTTTCAACATTTTCTTTATAAAAAAGTCTAAAGTGTTCCATTGATATTCCATTTTTCCACCTTTATTAAAACGAATATTCCATTTTGCATCAATGCATATGAAAATAAAAGTAACATTAGATATAGATGGCATCTCGGTGGTTGAACCCATGAGAAATAATAGAGTACGTATTGACAGATTTTACTGTATTGATCATGAATATTTCAGCAATACAGCAGGACAGAGTATTACACAGAGGGCCTATGAACACTGGAAGGCTGGGAAAGTGCGGGAAGATATACGCTACAAGGAAATGGAAGAAATCATCAATATTAGTGCATATAATGAAGATGAAGGTAAACAATTATTTACTTTTTTTAAAAAATTAGATATTTAACACAACAAAGGCCTGTTGTCTTGATCAATATTTAATCCCTACATTGGATGACGTTGTAGATGGTAATAAAAAACTTCCCAGGAAGGGAAGTGTGCAGGATGAATAAGAGGTATACTTTACTTCTACTTAATTTGGCTGACGTATATCCACTTTCACCCTGTATCATAGCGACCATGGTTTTATGTTTTTATTCATATAAACTGAGTGAAGCAAATTGTTCTATGATCTCCGATCACTGGATCAATCAAAAAATAAATTCACTTTTTCTTTTCAGGTGGCCTTTGGCACAGTGATCTTATAGAGAAACATCTCATTGATGCCTTTATTCCATTCCTTCCACTTGAGCGGATACACATAAAACAGTGCATAAAAGATGACTTAATTGAAAAATCTTTTCCCGTTACTGATGCAATTCTGGACAAAGTTGCCGACGAACTTATATATTACCCAGAAGGCTCGATGTTGTATTCTAAATCAGGTTGTAATAGAGTTTCGGAGAAAGTTAATCTGGTGATGGAAGATATGAGATTTGCAGATTAGGATTTAAAAAGATGATGCCAAATGCTACGGATATTGCAGCTTTGTGTGTTGTGTTTCAAGTGTTATTTTATATATGTCCGACAAATCGAATTATGCTTTTGAAACATTCTAGATGTATTTAATAGTATCTACAGGGTGTCTCAAAAAATGTACCCAAAAGTATATCAAGAGCATGGGTAAACCAATCAATATTTTCAGACATTTTTTGCATGGTTGTGTCGCAAAAACATGAAAGTTTTCTCCCCAATACACCATTTTCATTTGAGTCTTGTCTTTTTGATGCTTTAACCCTTTACCTTTTACACCACATAATTGATGTAAACTCATATTTCGATGACAGCCTGTATCCTTACTGCTACGTTGTTCATCACATTTGATAATAATTCCGGTGGAATGTTTTGGATTTCTCTTTGGATGTTGCCCTTAAGTTGTTCTAGGTCTTTTTGCTATGAATGAGCATTAAAACACTCCTTCAAATAGCCAAAGAGAAAGATGTTTGAGGATGACGATGGCAGAACAAACACAGATAATCAGGTCAATTATCGGCAATTGATTCAGGAGTTACTTTCCAGAGTTAGGCAGGCCAGCCTGGACACCAAATGACAACACAGTGGTCTCAAATTGATACACACAACAAAAGCTACACTAGAATCCCAACCAATGCAGTTTATTAAACCTCTGACCTCGGTATAAGGGGGGTATAAGACATTGTGAGGGCCTCCCTATTCACCATATTTGACGGCCCATACATTTTTCTCTGAGGCTATTTGAAGGACCATTTTTATGCTAAACCCAAGATAAGAGACCTAGAACAACTTAAGACCAGCATCCAAACAGAAATCAAAACATTTCACCAAAAATATCAAATGTGATGAACAATGTGGTAGTAAGGATGCAGACTGTCATCGAAATATGAGGCTACATTGAACATGTGGTGTAAAAGGTAACGGGTTAAAGTATCAAAAAGGCAAAACTGAATTAAAAACTGTGTATAGGGGAAAAAACTTTCATCTTTTATCTACAAGTCCATGCAAAGAATATCTGAAAATATTAATTGGTTTGTCTATGGTGTTGATATACTTTTGGGTACATTTTTTGAGACACCCTATAGATGTCTCGTCATTCATTTGACCAATAAAAATCATAACTGCCTGGAAAGTAATATGAAAAAAGAATGTAAATAAATGAATTAAAACGTCAAATTAAGAAGCAAAAGTCTTTTCTGGGTCACTGCGAATGGCATGATTTCCTCGAGTCTCTTCAGTTGCAAGGCAACCATACTGGGACCGATTCGCGTCGTTCCACTACTGCCCTTGGTGGGGGCCCGCTACCATACTATATGACTCCCGGAGTTTACTAAAGCACGTTAGTGGAGGAACCAACCACAGTCTCACAATCTGTCTCCGGCAAGAGCGGCCAGAGAACCAACCCATGCCAAGGGCCGGTATACGGTTGGACCTTCGGACCGGGTGTCCGTAGTGACAATGATCAACAACTCCGTACCTGGGGCTCGAACGCGGGACCTCCGTATCCCACGACGTTCAACCGCAAAGTAGCCTCAGTCTACGCCACTAGGCTACCCTGCTTAGGTGTCAAAACTGCTCCAAAATAATGTAGTTGTTACAACTATTTGCTTGGATGAACATGATATTACATTTCTTAATTGATTAATCGGATTTAGTTGGAATTAAAGTTCGACCAACGATCAAGGCAATGCAATCAACAACTCTTGCAAATGTGAACGGGAGTCGTAAAGACAGAAAGTACAAGAATCGTGATCAATGCAAAGTATAATATTTATTTGTTGCCAATGATCAATTGCGTCTCAAATGAATGAAATATTAAAGGTATCGCGGGCCACTAAAGCCGAAAAGTGAAAACAATTATTATTGACGCATCTAGATCGCTCAATATAACGGTAAGTGAAAAGGTTTGTTGATACGTCAAGGAAAATATTATTTTCAAAATAAGCTATTTAACGACGCTTGAAATAATCTGATTACGCTTATTAATAATAACGCGTGGCTATTAAACACAATTAGTGTTGTGTAGAGAAAAACAAGAAAACTGAACGACCTATTAAGGAACTTTACTTCAGTTTCAATGTGTTCAATATATTTCCGCATGTTCAAAAACACAAAATTTATATTTTAGGCTATCCATATTTTGTCAGATATCTCCAATTCATATTACAGGGAAAACATAATCATGTTTCCGAAAATAATTTTATTTACCCTCGCTTCTCAAAATGGGGCATGGATACAAGTACAGAGAATAGCCTAGTGAAGGCATCTATCTAATAGTGGCTTTTCCATATTGCTTTGAAATCTCGTTAAGGTCTCGTTTCAATGAAATTTTAGGAGATCTGCATTTTAGCAACTAAAGACTAACATTTTCTTCTATTTGAATTCTGTACGTAATTTTCTATCAATGCAACTTTTATGTTTGGCGCTCTTGCCGAATATCCCGCTTTACTCCGAGCTTTTCTACGACCTATTACGACCCCTCCGCTTTATCAAACTTTGTTACGCTTTGGTGCCGCTTTACAAGTCCCTTTAAAGCGCCATGCTTTGGTGCCGCTTTGCTCCCCGATTTAAAGCGTGGCATTCGCCGTTGGTGTGAACGTAGCTTAGATTGAGGTTCTGTTTAACATTCATGAATTATAATCACTACATATACGAATGACCAGTTTTCAGAGTTAAGTTCTATTGAACTATCATTCATCCGTACCGAAAAATATGCGAAATGAATATGAATAGAAAACAAATTATTTCAATCTGATTTCAAACGTTCATAATTATCGTTGAATGTATTGCTTGTTATAGATTCCCAAGTCTCTTTACATCAAATTCAACGACTCATCGCTTTATCGAGGTACAGCTGATAACGCCCTCAGAAAATGTGCATCAGACAAATGGGACTAGCTCGATAAGGTATAAAAGCAATAAATTCTACGATCCTGGCTAGCTTAAAAAGTCATATATATCTCTGCAATAATGGAATTCCGTTGCATTTTGCTTATAAAGATATTGCTATTTGCACATCCAGATCAAGACATCCAACGTCATGTCAGTTTACAGAATGGTACTACTGGTGGATGTATTTGTAGAAAAATGGAAAGTGATCATTATTGCAGTTTGATACACAGTCATATCTAACATATTTAATTCCCTTTCGAATATGCTTTTACTACATGAAAATCAAGCCACCATTGACTATCTTAAAGAAAGAATAAATACTTAAAATAGAGTCAATCGCATTTATTATTCGCGAATCCCGTTCTCTTCACTAAAAGGAGGAGGGAAATTAGCGCAACAGATTTTGGACAGTCATATGTTGGATTTGGGCCATTTTCTGAGGATTTAAACAATTGCATATGTTAGGCCAATGCATTACCTCCAGGAAAATCACTTCTAGAGATGATAAAAAAATTTCGGCTTTGAGACAGGGTAGATGCAAACAACCCACCCACATGTTTTTTCTGAAATGTTTTCCTAATTTTCGACCCCTTCCATCCCTGCTTTTTTAATTTTTCTTGCATCAATATGTTGCATTTTGACACATAGTTAATCACTTTAAAGGAATAAGTGATTCCTTCGGGGGTTTTAAAGATACCCATTATGGGTGACCAAACTTAGCTGAAAGCAATGATTTTTCCTATGGGAAAATAACATGGGAAATACTGTTTTCCACTTTATCTAAAAGGAATCATTTATTCCTTTTAAGGGATTAACTGTGTGTCAAAACGCAACATATTGATGCAAGAAAAATTAAAAAAGCAGGGGTGGAAGGGGTCGAAAATTAGGAAAACATTTTAGAAAAAACATGTGGGTGGGTTGTTTGCATCTACCCTGTCTCCAAGTCGAAATTATTTTATCATCTCTAGAAGTGATTTTCCTGGAGGTAATGCATTGGCCTAACATATGCAATTGTTTAAATCCCCTGGAAATGGCCAAAATCAAACATATGACTGTCCAAAATCTGTTGCGCTAACTTCCCTCCTCCTTTTGAGACTGTAGTAGCGACTTGCTATTCGAGAGTCATTATAGCACATTTCACAGATCAGAGCTGCCACTGATTAGATTCTTTGTCGATGGAGGACAGACCAAACAAGAAACGATGCGTCAGATTTGGAAAGTTTATGGTAAACATTCTATGATAAGAGTGTTATGAATAAAAGGTTGCAAACATTAGGGTTAATGAGATTGAGATGTATTGGGTCTTTTAATTTTTTATGAAAGTCATTGTATCAATCTTTGTCAGGCGTGGGGGACTTAGTTGGAAATTAAATATGAAATGCATTAACTGCTTTCCCATTTGACACGTTCTCTCTTCTATGATACAATTGTAAAATATTCATTATGGCCGGTACGGTCTAAAAAATGAATCTAATCTTGTATTGCCATAGTTCATAGTTCAACCTAGTTGTCGTGTAGTTTAAGTTCTTCACCGTGTCTCTCGTCGATACCAAAAAATTCCCTGAAATAGGAATAATGACCATTCTGTCTAACATACTAATTTCAACATGTGTTCGTATTGGTGTTTGATTGGTTGTATGTGTATGATTGGTTGTATGATTTTCTCTTCAGGCTGCCTGGGGAGAGTGTAGAGAAGTTGTAGGGCAGAAACAGCTAGTTGTTGATAAGTATTTGGAGTACCTGGATCGACACTTGATAACATGCGATACGGATGAATTCCTCGTGTCTTGGCGCCTCTCCAACGAAAGGGAGGGTAGCAATATGGGCATGGTATGGAAATGCTGCAAAATTGCGATCGTGTAGTTGAGTCATAGGAGTAGTTATGTGACGGATTACACACTTAATAATAAATAAATTTGCATATAAATGTAAATTATTAAAATTGGCAAAAATAAAGTTTGTCCATTTTAAATTGTTTCTTCAGTTTGTGTTTATGTTTACTTTACTTTACATCTATATGAAAAGATAGAACGATGGTGTTTAGTATCACGGCAATTTATTTCGTTTCTATTATTTATGTTATATTATTGATATTATTTTGCCTGTTATTCTTATTTCAATATATTTATATTAGAAAAATACAATGTGCATACCGAGTAAAGTAAATCCTTCCCACTCAACCCAAAGGAATTTCAAATTAGTGTACGATGTACAATATACAATGTACAATAAAGTATTATTAGTGTTGATCAGAGTTGGTTGTATGCGTAATTCATTTTTGAATGATCTTTAAATCATATCATATCATAAAATTCAGCGTTTACTATACGTCCTGTATAACAGGAATATGCAAGCTCGCTGAATGTTGAGAGTCTTTGAATATTTGAAGTGTAAGTTATCTTGGTTCCACACAATCAATGACGCAAGTTTATTTAAACATATTTATGATAATTCACATATTTCATTTCTGATGTTATAATACACACTATGGTACCAACAAAAAGTTCTAAAAATCAAGCCCAATGTCCTGTTTAAAGTGTGCGCCAAAGTTTAAAACTGCGCAGGCGCACCGCTCTCGCTAAACTATATAAAGTGGATTACCAGGTACACGATTCAGAGGTAAGCCAGGAAGGCGAACGATCTTCGTCTCGTGATGATTTCCCATATAATCGTAACCAGGGAAGTTTCACAATTGAAATTGAAAATTATACTTTGTAGATGTTATTTATGAAGCTATTTAGTGTTTGTATCAATCAAATGGCTCATTTTGAACATATAAAAAGTATTTGTGTTTTGTTTCCCAGGGAATTGTATTGTATGTAGTACACACATAAATAGTGTACATTATACAGTACTTGAATAGCCTGGTTTACATAATATTGAAGGGCATGCTGATTACATGCACACGAGTACATGAATGAAGGCCTAATATTGATATACGTAGCTTGCATACCTAAATAAGAAATAAACTCTTCTAATCGCCTAATGTAAACACGGCGGTATACGTAGCCCGATTTATCGGGGACTTTAAGAACCAAGAGTACCATTGACTTTACATGGGGACATACACCATTGATCAATGACTTGGCATCGGGATCCTATCATTAATTACCAAGTTCCGACGGATTGTAAGCAATTAGTAAAACGATAATGAATGGAGAAGTCCTGGTTTTCAATATTCCTTCTCTAGCAGGGGTCATATGCCCATGAACAATTGGACCATAAAATTTGAGCCAAATAGGTCAATCGGTATCTAGGTTATTTCCCATACACATGAACGAACGGATAGATTTCTTTATAAACCCCATCGGTAGCATAGGATACTTATTACGTAAAGGCTAGAGTACCGACAATTGTCGGTACTCTAAACTCTGATGTGGTGGCATGCTAGAGGACCGACAAGGTACGGGAGATATGCTGTGTTTACACGCTAGAGGACCGACAAATAAAATTTTTGATTTTCGAATTTTCTGGCGCATGCGTAATGCGCGGGGGGGGGATATTTCAGATATCATACGGATATTTTGGGAACAAGTGCAAAACCCGGGGAGGGCATTAGCCCCGGTTACCCGGGGATTACCAAACCCAGTCAAAAAATGGTAGCCCGGGAACTGGGAATGGTAGTAAACGTTGAAAACGCAATAAAAACATGAACAATTAAGGCGTTAGAGAGCTATTAATGCAGAGTAAACGGCTATATATATTCTAAACAGACAGGATATTTCTCCTGAGCCGATCAGGCGTAGAAAGGGGCGTTTGCTACCCATTAGATAGAAGAAAATAGCTAGAATGTTTTTTATTTGAAGCTTATGGTATGAGGTTCCATATCCATCCGCCAAACAGTATGACCCCTATATAGTCCATTTAAAAACCTGTGGTATCGTTCTAAATAACGCCATAGTTGGCTTCTATGGTACCTAGTATGCCACTATTCGGTATCAAAATAAAGAGGAGGAGTTCAACTTTCATTTGAATTACGAAAATAGCGATGAAGGTCAAAATAGTTCCGAACGTGAGCATGTTTACTACGCGTTTGCCCGTCATATCAGAATTGAGGAAGTGGTAGCAAACGTGAGTTACAATTAACGGACGCTGATATCTCAAAAAGTAACCTGACTCCCTAAAATTTGATGTAGGTCAATCGAACCCCTATATGAACAGGTACATTTTGATATATAACACTATGAGGGGGGGGGGGGTAATCGTTTTATAGTTGATCACGAACGCCATATGTGCAAACTATTGTTATGAATTTTCGAATTTGGTGTTGGATTACGGTACTCATACCTTATAGCACAATTGCTTTATAGCATGAGAGAGCTACCAAACGCAAAGTAAACAGTGATATATTCCAAATGAGATATTTCTCATGTGCCATGGCGTAGCAAGGGTAGAGAGTGACGGGGGCGAAAGCATCCCCTCCCCTAACTGTATATATCGACCCATTAGATAGAATAAGAAAAGAGCTTTAAAATGTTTTTTAATTGAAGCTTGTAGGACAATTTTGATGGAAGTTGAATCGATTTTTGTCGAAATAAATTATGACTCACTATAAGTTAATGCCTGTACGATTCCATACTGCAAAAGAAGCACTATGCCCCCCCCCCTCAAAAGAAAAAAGTAGGTATTGCCGGGATTCGAACTCGGGACCGAGTGTGTTCGAGTCGTGCTCGCTAACCACTAGGCTACCAGTGATGAGGTTATTTCTACTTGTAAAAGTAGTGGATTTATTTATAAAATTGTCGGCTCTCTAGCAAAAACACGTAGGAGCACTTGCGTACCGACAATTGTCGGTCCTCTATCTGGCACTACTAGGTGACGATAGAGTGCCGACAATTGTCGGTACCCCAGCAAATACCCCTGGACAGTCTCCAGTACCGACAATTGTCGGTCCTGGAGCCACTCCGTAATTCGTAATATTAGGGAGGTTACGTTCTACTTTTTAATAGAACCTCTAATTATATATAAGTGAGCTCGTGATATTTTGACCCCGGGCAAGTAAACAGAACAAATTGGAGAACTAATCCCCAGAGGCCCATATCATTCTACACGTTCACGTACACGTTTAAAAAAACATGTATCGTAACCTCGCTATTGAGCAAATTTCACGACATTGAAACGTGAAAGATTCTCTGATGTTGATGAAGCGTTGGATAATTAGAACGCAAATTTCGAACAAAACAAAATTTATATTAAATTCAACCACACTACAAACTTATATTTTAATATCATCATCCATTAAGTTTAACAAACTTATTGCACAAGCCCTCTTTAACAGACCCCTCAGACAGAATATAAGTATTGTCATCTAACTCACGGTCGGGCCCTAGTTCAACAAGTTGAGAATTGCTCTCTGCTAGGGCATCATATTTCCAAAGAGCCAAGTGCTGACTTTTCCCTTGTCTAGCATATACATAGACTTGAAAATCTTCATAATTGACGTTAAAGCTTTTGTGTTTCGATTGTTCCTCACTATGCTTTGCCCTTGGATTACAGTCAGAGATTTTTAATGCATGTTTAGTGGTGTTCAAATTATCACCCATAGTATTAGTCTTATTGGTGTCACTAACTACAGCTGCATCATTATCAGAAGTATCAGCATCTTGATAGGGCACCTTTGAAATATTTCGACCGCATTGGGCTACCATTTTGTAATAAGTATTTCTATAGTGATGTAGATATGGTAGTTCTTCATCTTGTAGATACGGCAGTTGTCCGTCTTGTTTATCCTGGGCAGTATTACATGTATCTATTAGGGACTGAGAGTTGCCTTCCTCCACTGAGTATTCTTTCGGGACCAACAGGAAACCTACAAGTGATACAGAACATAGTAAGCACATGTTCGGTAAATAAAAGAGTGCCTTTCTAAAGCATGTGTATATATACGATATATTGCCAAACTGCTTTTTGTAAAATAAATTATCTTGTCCATGGTTGTTGCTACACACCTACTACATTACAGGCCCGTAGCCAGGGGGGGTTCGGGCGAACCCCCCTGGCCAAAATTTCTTTCAAAATCATGCAGTTTTTCACCATTCTGACTAATTTTTGAGTGATTTTTGGCCATATTTGCCAAAGTGAACCCCCCCAGAATTCTTTAGAAAAACGAACCCCCCTTGGAAAATTCTGGCTACGGGCCTGAGTCATCAGGTGAGGCAGAATAGGCAATTTTCAAAAAAAAATGGAAGGTTGTTCATGACAGGTCTTTTGAACGACAATGTGTGTACATGTATAGCAAAATAGTGACTACCTAGATGTATCTGTGCTTCACCTTAACATGAAGTTATAAAGAATATTCAGACATTACCTGTTACAATGGCCCAGTGTGCCTTGTGGCCACGTTTGCAGCAAGGCTCATGGTTCATGAATATAAAGTTGTAAAGAATGAATAGTCAGACATTACCTGTTACAATGGCCCAATGTGCCTTGTGGCCACATTTGCAACAAGGCTCATGGTTCATGAGCATAAAGTTGTAGAATGAATATTCAGACATTACCTGTTACAATGGCCCAATGTGCCTTGTGTCCACATTTGCAACAAGGCTCATGGTTCATGAACATAAAGTTGTAGAATGAATATTCAGACATTACCTGTTACAATGGCCCAATGTGCCTTGTGGCCACGTTTGTAGCAAGGCTAATGGTTCGTGAATATAAAGTTGTAAAGAATGAATATTCAGACATTACCTGTTACAATGGCCCAGTGTGCCTTGTGGCCACATTTGCAGCAAGGCTCATGGTTTCTATCAGAATCATATCTTTGATAAGTCAAGGTAATGTTAAGTTTTAAATTCATTTAATATCATTAGAAAGTTGGTTTTTGAGGTTTTTAGTGATTGATGAACTTTTTGGAGCATTGTTAACATTCTGACATGAACATTTGACCAATGCTACATCTAGCAGTTTAGAAATTTGAAGATGAAACTCTCTTTTAAAGAAGCAAAATCGAACTTATGGAAAGGGTAAACATTACATGTAGCTCACTGCAAGTTCAAAATATCCAGAAGGGATTGATTCTCAATCAGCCCATCTCCGTAGCCCCAATTTTTGATCAGACAGATAATTATCACAGTGTGAACTTGCCCAATTACACAATTAAAAGAATTAGATCAGAAAAAAACGAAGAAATAAAAATAAATATGATTTTATATGACTGAATTGTTTACCCTATAGGTTCACATCGAGCCCTTATATGACCAACACTTCCAGCCTCACCACTTAACACCAGGTTTAATAGATAGGCAGTGTCTGGAAGATAATAAATAGACTTGACAGTTGATAGCCCCATAGCCAGATTTTAACAAAGGGGGTTCACTTTTCCCAAAATGTCTAGTAAGATTCACATGACAATTTTGGACCAAAAACACTCAAAAAGCCCTCAAAACGCATGACTGCAAAACTGCATGACCAGAATGATTCCCTCAACCTCATTTCCTGAACCGCCCCCTCCCCCTCCCCCAACAAAGGGCCTGCTTGATGCAAGCATATTTCAACCAAAAATTAAATCAATTCTGGTAAGAGCACTCAAAGGATACGGCACAAGAATAGCTCCACCTTGCTTAAGATGTTCGCAGAATAGCTCCATGCTGTCTTTCATATTGCTACTCATCTTAGCTTCTGCTCCCAAGTCTCTCACCAGGCTCACCATATCTCTAACTGAAATATAAGATAGTCCTCTATCAAGCTCTCTATCCTCTCTCTCACTCTTAAACCCCTCCCTGGCCAAAATTCTTTCAAAATAATGCAGTTGTTCATCATTCTGAGCAATTTTCATGTGATTTTGGGCCAAAGGTGTCAAATTAATGTAACCACCCAAGAATTTTTTTAAAAGTGCCCTCCCCTTGGAAAAAGCTAGCTGCGTGCAAGCAAAGTATTGTTAATGACTTGCATACCGCAGGTTCTTAGTGATGCCTCCAGAAAAAAGAGGTTCTCAGAATGGAAAAAAAAGTAAACAGACACGTTGTCGACATTCTAAATTGTACAGATATTGAAATATTAGAAAGTTAGACAATCTTTTAAATTTATTAAATTTTTGAGAGAAATTGTTGTGTAGTGAATATTTAAATTCACATGACCACATTGAAATTATGAAAATGATACTTTCACCCAAGTGATTGAATACCTGAATACATCTCCCCATTGTTAGTAAAGCCTAACTCTTTAGCTCTGGAAAATATTTCATCCACTGTTACATTTGGCCGAATCTCTAACTGATGCATCGCCATGGCAACTGCTATGAGGCCACATCTAAATAAACAAACAAAAAGTAAATAACAACAACCATGACTTAATGGATCAGAGCAAAGAATGAACTACAGTAAAACCTGTCTGAGTGAACACCTCTAGTGGACATGTTCTGTGGATCCATAGGTGTTCACTATATACAGGTTTTACTGTAAATTAAGTAGACTTAGATGTATAATCACACCCGGTGATCGTGAAAATGGGACGGAGGGGGGGAGCAAGCAATTTCTGGTAGAAAAATGAACAAATCTGCAAAAATTATTTTTTCAAGAAAAGGTTTATGATTTAATTGCTGAACGAATAGGCGCACGGTATGGTTAAATATGTTGCGTATTCTACGAATTTTTTTTAGCTGATTCTCTTCTTAGGTATAAGATCTATTAAAAAAGGCGCAACGCCACCAACGTGCAAAAGTTAATGTTTTTGCTTTAAATCAAGCATCAACGGTCTACACAACCTGCAATAAATATTTGTAAGTGACATTATCATCATAAAATTAATGACCTTAATGACTTTACAAAATACGTTTCCATACGTTGTATAAAAAATAATCGAAAATAATTAAAATGGGACGGAGGGGGGGAGGGGACGGAGGGGGGGAGTGTTCACCGGGTGTGTTTACAATGCTCAGAATATAATATACTTACTGTGGTCCGTCTTGAAGAATGGGAGCAACTGGTGCATAATGGGAATAGAACGGCAATCCTTCAACAGCATTGTCAAGCCTAACAAGACAAAAATAATTATATATACTGTATGTCCAAAAGTTTCCCTGGACAAGATCTCCAGGGGTTGAACTAAGGTTCTGAAATCAGCTGGCAATTACTCAGATGCGAGTAGGTAGTTAACAGTTTCGCCTCAAGGTGGCTGATTCGGGGGAATTAACATGGCAGGGTATAACAAAATTCCCTTAAACTTGAATATGCATCAGTTTTAGTGGTTCACTTTTCATATTACCATTATGTATCGGATAGTTATACAAATTAAAATATGTCCAGTAAAAGAAACCATTATCTGCCAAACACAAGAAAAAATATTTCACTTTTTGTGGTTTTACAACATGGGGTCTATGGGGAATCTCCCCGACCTAGAAGTCACATTTTCAAAGAAAATTAAATTTTCAAAGTTGATAAACTCTTTTCAAAACCACATTTCTAAATGTAATTTTACATGTTGATTCCAAATATGACATCAGTTTGACTGAATTGTGAATTTTTTAATGACGTAAATCAAGATTATTTCTACTCGCATCTGAGATATAAGGACCGGATGCCATGTTATTTTCTTATCCCAACTGCAAAAATCAACTGGTTTGTACCAAAAGTGACCTTGCAAATGACCAGTGGGCCAGCCCTTAGCTCAACCCCTGAAGATCTTCCCTGTGTATACTGTCTTAAATTTTGAATTCTTCAATATAAATAAAACATCTTATGGAAAATCAACCAAGAAAATAGTTTACATGTATCTAAAAGTAATTTTTACTAATTTTACATTGAAATCCCATAAAAGGCTATAGAAGTTATATTAAAGATCATTGCTCTTATTAGCTTTTACTTTTGTTGTTGCTCTTAGAATAAAACAATACCAAATATATATATCAAAAATTGTAATTTGAAAATATGTTTGTATCTTGTCAAATATGTAAAGCGGCCTATTGAAATACTTAGCCACAGCAACATGTTGAGAAACAAATCCTGAGGAGATCACTTATGATACTCAGGGGCGGATCTGGGAACCAACAAGGGGGGGGGCAAATTTCAGGTCAGAGAAAGCTTGCGCAGACAATTTTGGGGCCCTAAAACCCAAAATTTTGAGGCCCATTTTCTTCAAAATGAGGTCTTAAATTAAAAAATAAGGCCTTAAAAGGCCCAGTAATGACCAAAAAGGCCTACTTTTTGGGGCCTTAAGACCTTTTTTGGGCCTAATTTTTCTTCTGGGCCAACCCAGATCCGCCAGTGATACTGTACCTGGTTCTTAAAAATGCTACTCTTTTTCTGATCTCCTTCAGAAAATAAGCTTCATCATACTCTACATGTGCACAGACGTTCTTTAAATCTTCTTTGTTGTCAAATAGCATATGAGGCTTGAAGGCAGCACTTATAGGAGGCGGTGGGGGAGGTGGAATTGAAGCCATTTCAACATCACCATTCAATGAGGTTTAAAAGCACTGAAAATATAATGTACATCATACATGTAGGCCTGTGATCCAGATATTGGTTCGAATCTTTTGAACTATTTATTTTGAATTTATAGTCGATTTTAATTTCAATTTTAAAATAACAACATTTCGATGTTTTCATTGATGGAAAATATTGAGTCTCGGTCCTGGAAGACAATCCTCCTTGGGTAGAAGTACGAAACTGAAATCAACCATCCCAAATAATAGCCTAAAGTGGTGATCATAAATAATGACTAACAATATGAAAAAGACATTTTGTCACATATGTCATGAATTCTTACCTCAGTGAATTGAATGCTCTATTTTCTCCGTCCCATAATGACAAATGGGAACACACACACAAAATTTGAAGTGATATTCACATGTTTATGCAGACTCTTCAAATGTTGAGGTGATTTTGGAGCTTGATTACGCCGCAAGGAGGATTGGCTCCCAGAATGCAGCCATGAATGCAACATGACACGTGCCAGCTTTCAAAATGCCATTCCGCCATTTTGAAACCTGTAACATGTAAACAAGGTTACTGATGTTGCATTCTGGGAGTAAACCCTTCTTGGATCACAAGCATGGGGATCCATGAAAACATTTATTGTTTGATTTGGTAGGAATTTATCCATCATTTGCAGGTATGAAGCTTTGAAAACAGAAATTATTTTTCTACCACTTAAGAGAGTTTGAGACATGAAACTTAAAATTTAGCTCATTGTGACAACTTTTGATGGTTGAGGTTTATTAATATTTCTGACTATATAAACATGGGTTTTATAAAGGTCAGGGTGCATGTTGGGAAATTTTCTGCATTCCTCAATTGAGTCACATGTTATTTTTCAAACAAGAATTACTCCTTCCCCACATTGTCTACATCTTCCAGGTTTGCACAAAGAGTGCATCTATGTGCCTAGAAAAGACTTTTGAGAAGATTTGTTTTGTAAAATGTATAAAAAACAAGAAAATTCAGTGAAAAAAGATTTTGACTGAATTCTCTTATTTTTTATACACTTTATCAAAACATTCTTCTCACAAGTCTTTTCTAGCCACACTTTGTGCAAAACTGGAAGATTGATACAATGTCGAAAAGGAGTGAGAAGGGGGGGGTAGGTACGAAAAATTTCCAACGGAATGCGTGACATATACGTAATTCGCGTGAAAAGTCCGAACAAAATGCGTACGTTTTTTTTCGGCGTTCGTATTTTTGCTGTGTAGACGATCTTTTTTAAAAAAATTTCTACAGAAATATTTTTGCTTGACAATTACCAGGTAAAATGCGTACAGTGGGGATCATAAAGAATTGCAAAAGCTATGAAAATTACATGCTGTCGCACATGTAATAAATTCTTACCTCAGTGTATTCAGTGCTCTATTTTCTCCGTCTTAGTAAGTCCAAATATAGTGGAATTTGTGTCCCTAATGACAAATAAGAACTTCAAAAGTTGAATTGGATATTCACATGTTATACCGACTCTTCAAATGTTGAGGTGATTTTGTCGCCCGATTGCGCCGGAACGGAGGATTGGCTCCCAGAATGCAACATGACACGTGCCAGCTTTCAAAATGCTGTTCCAACATTTTGAAACCTGTCATGAGTAAATACGGTTAACTGATGTTGCATTCTGGGAGTCAACCGTCCTTGGATAACAAACATGGCGATTCATGAAAACATTCATTCGATTTGGTAGGGATTTATCCATTATTTGCAGGTATGAAGCTTTGGATTCATTTATTGCGCTACTTTAGTGAACGGGAATTATTTTTCTACCTCTTAGGAGAGTTTGAGACACGAAACTTGGAAATAAGCTCATTGTGACAACTTGTGAACGTTGAGTTTTATTTTTGTCCCCCACTGTATTTGCGTGACATTTTCTGTCACGCAAAAATAACTGGCGTGACTTCAAATTCTTCAGCAAATGCGTGACAAATACGCAAATTGCGGGACAGTTGACAGGCCTGTGCACCCTGACCTAAGATATTTGAAAGCCCATGATATCTAAATTATGAAGGAAGGAAGGAATGCAACTCCAACACCTGCTTACCTCGATTTAACGAACTAAAGTAGCATCTTAGAGACACATATCATAAATTTAATTAACTTATAACCAGCATCATACTCCCCTAATATGGGCTAAGTCGATAACTTCTGAAAAACTCTGAAAAAACTTTTTCTAATTTCTTGAACGAACATTCAATTAGTGGTTGAGCTGGTCTCGCTATATCGACAATTTTTAAGTTCCCTTTTGTTGTATTTTCCATCTCTTGTATCTCGTGATGTGCATTGGTTGAAAACAATTAATTTTTTTCGTTTATATTCAGTCTTTCTTACGAGTCTTTCATTCAGACTCTTTGGGCCTAATCGAAGTAAACTGGTTCGCACAATTTCAATTTGCTAGTGCTGAAGCGACCGGAAGTGAGCTGAAGTGACATTTAAAATTCTAAATGTTGTAAAACTGTAAAATGAGGATATTCACGTTATCTCTGGCTACTCTTTTCGTTTTATCATTGCATGCAATATCTGTTGCATCCTTGGATCCGATCTCGACTGGAATCGGAGTTGCTACAGCCATTGCAGGCACAGTCGTTTTTACAGCAATTGATAAACTTGGACTGCTTTGCTGGACCAATGAATGTTGCGATCACTCGTGGATATCACCAAATCTGACACGTAAGTGCATTACTGATAACACATGACCCACAAACACTTTGGGTTATGAATAAACAAAAATCCACCTTGCCTCAATTCAAGTGACATCAGGCCGTCCAACTGTCCTGCAACTAAAGAAATTGAAGTAGAGTCCATTTCACTGGTTCATTTCGTCAGTACATGTAGAACGGCAAAAATAAGAAATTGGGAGACCATTGTGAAATAATATATGGAAAAGTATATTCATAATGTACATGAATGACATTTGTATATCTTGGATTGCTTCTAGTTTGGCTTATAAAGTGTGTGGCCTCTTATATTTGGATGTTTCTCTGCCATGTTATTTTCAATAAGATTAACATGGCTGAAATTCTTCAAATTACAAGACGGCACAGGCTTATTGCAGAAAAAACTAAAAAATCTGAAATATACAAATGTCATTCATGTACATTATGAATATACTTTTCCATATATTATTGCACAATGGTCTCCCAATTTCTTATTTTTGCCGTTCTACTGACGAAATGAAGCAGTGAAATGGACTCTAACACTGTTTTTTGCGTGAAAGAATATGTCACGCAAATACACATTTTTACCTCACCACAAAGAAGTGGTGACATATTGTTATGGTCTTCGGTTTTTTGTGACGGTGGTTGGTGGTTGGCGTCTGTAACAAATTCTGAACTCTCAATAACTTAACAAATACTGTTTAGACTAACTTGACTTTACCTTTTCAAAGTTTAAAAAAGGTTTATGATTGGCGGGTGGCGTCTGTAACAAATTCTTACAATTTCCAATAATTAAAAAATACTGTTTTGACTGACTTCTATTTTTTCAAAATCATCTATAAGTTCAAAGCTGATTTGAAATTTAAGATTTGACCTTCAATGATCTTTAGAAGTTCAAAAAGGTTAAAAAAGGTCAAAAGTTATTTTTTCAACTTGCTTCAAATTGATAATTTTTTTTCAAAATCATCTACAAGTTCTTAAAAGTTCAAATCTGACTATAGATTTGAGGTTTGACCTTCAATGACCTTCTCGAGTTAAAAAAGGTCAAAAAGGTTTTTAGGTTAAAAAAGTCAAAGGGTCTTATTTTAACTTGCTTCAAATTGATTAAATGTTTTCCTCAAAAGTATCTACGAGTTCTCAGAAGTTCAAATCTGACTATAGATTTGAGATTTGACCTTCAATGACCTTCTCAAGGTCAAAAAAGGTAAAAAAATGTATTTTTCAAGCTGCTTGAAATTGGCTTAATTTTTTTTTCAAAATCATCTACAAGTTCTCAAAAATTCAAATCTGACTTTAGATTTGAGATTTGACCTAGTAAAAATGGTCTAAAAGGTCTTTAGGTTAAAAATGGTCAAAAAGGTATTTTTCAACTTGCTTCAAATTGATTAAATTTTCTAGGTGGTGGTGACATTTTGTCATGTTAATGCCTTTTTCTGATTATTGTCAAGGAGAAAACATCAAAAAAAAGAATGCTGAAAATTGAATGCGTGGACACATTTTGTTTGGAATTATAATGCAAATTTTTTCAATTTTACAAAATTGCTCTTTTTCTTTTTTGTTGTTGCACCCCCCCCTGGCTATGCCCATAGTATATGCACCACACTATACTTAACTTGTTCAAATTATGGTATCAGAGTAAAGTGAAAAATCATTACCTGACGTCTAGTAGCTAAACTCTTCACTAATTTATTTCAGATTTGGCTGTTGTGCTTAAAGATAGGCTACATGGTCAACATCTAGTCATCGACACCTCACTTCGTGCCTTAAAGGGCCATTTAACCAATAAAAACCCATCAAAAGCCCTCGTTTTATCTTTCCATGGATGGACAGGTGGAGGAAAAAATTTTGTCAGTCGGTTCATCGCTGAGAGCCTATACAAGAATGGGATGAACTCAAAGTTTGTGAACCTGTTTATAGCAACTCATCATTTTCCTCATGCAAGTAAATTAGAGACATACAAGGTGAGTGCTGTAGAGATTGATTTGTAAAATCTTGTTTGTTAAATAAAGGAGCAATTAAATGGCCATTTTCATGTCACCACCAGAAGTTGTTGAATTTGCCCCGGTGACATCAAATCAGGTTACTATAGTAACCATGAAATGAACCAATCAAATAATAGACGCTTTATTTTTGAGACACTAACTCAATAATGTTTAGGGAACATCTGTACCAAGTTTCACAAAGCAGCATTGAAATGGCAATACTTTTGACGTTACTTCTGGATCACCCTGTATATGTGTACTGTTATCGTCTTCAATTTTTTTATTTATGAACTGTTTGGTGGTTGGTGCTCGGTGTCTGTAAAAATGGCATTTGTTGATTGGTGTCTGTAACAAATGTTACGTGGTAACATTTTGCATGTTTGTCATTGTGTTTCATTTTTCACCATTAAGGTACAAAGGTCACGTTTCTGTATGGGACCAAAATACCCAAAGACCTAATTTTTGAGTTGACAAAATGCAAAAAGGAACTTTATACTTTACAAATAGCTCATACAATAGTTTCCAAAATGAACTCTTGATTTTGGTCATCATGAAACATCACCCTAAAAGTGTCAATTCAGATGAATCATATGGTAGTGTTAGAGGGCCACTGTCATAAATAGTGAATATTGAAATAAATGAATAAAACAAAATATCATGTTTATCTATTACAATTTAGCATCCACATACGAATAGTACGATAAAGTCCCAATTTAATATTAAAAAGTAAAAATTTGATATTTGAACAACCAACCTTCAATTACTCTTAGAGAGGCTTTTAATATGATACATTATTTTTACTGATACATTTTTTGCTTGTAGGATCAATTACGAGAATGGATCAAAGGGAATGTCTCAGAGTGTGGGCGCACTCTATTCATATTCGACGAGATGCACAAAATGCCACATGGTTTGATGGACACTATCAAGCCATACATTGACCATTACGACAGTATCAATGGGGTAGACTATAGAAAAGCCATATTTATATTTTTAAGGTAAATTCATAAGAATAAAGCATTGACATTGTTCTATTGGCCAGTCATAAAACATTGCCCAGAGAGTTTAAAGTACTATACACTACAGGCCCGTAGCCAGGGGGGGTCGATGGGTTCGAGCAAATTTCTTTCAAAATTATGCAGTTTTTCATCATTCTGTGCACTTTTTAAGTGATTTTGGCCAATTTTGAACCTAAATTGTCAAAAGTGAACCTCCCCTGGAATTTTTCAAAAAGTGACACCCCCGCCCCTTGGCAAATTCTTGCTACTTGCATCTACCATACTCTCTAGTTTAAAGTGCATCAACTGAATTCTCTTTTGTGTAGGTGGTGCCTCGATTAATGATTTTCCTGGGGTTTAATCAATGTTGAACAATAAGATGATAATATGGTAATAAATTAAAGCTTTAAATATTTTTAACATTTTCTTTCTAAAAACGTCTAGAGTGTTCCATTGATATTCCATTTTCCCACTTATTAAAATTAATGTGAAAATGAAGGTAACTTTACAGTCGAAATGTTGAGACATGCGCAGACCTCTATTTAGTGATATTTTCATTTCAAATATGGCGGCCAATCCGATGTCTGACGGCCCTTACAAAGAATCTAGGCAGTTTGCATTTTTACCTCCTGTGAAATAACAAGTGGAATTTAGTAGTTGTTTTGTGTTTTATTATCATTCTGCATCGTAATCCTATGTGATGTGGTGTTGAAATGTCAGCAGAAATACATATCCATACGATAATCGAGTGAATCAGATAACAGATTTTTCGAAAACCCGTCTCGTGCTAAGAGTGTAAAAACTTGTATTAACATGCTCAAAAGTGCCAATGTGCACATCAATGTCAAGCTAAATCAATGTTGTGTCTAAAACAGGTACCTGATCTACTCAAAACAGCTTGTCATTCACGTATACACGCTTAGCAAACACGGCGAAATGACCTGAATCTTGGAATTTCGTTCGAGAGCTAGTAATGTTTGCTCCGGTCTTCGTCATAAGTGTTAATCAGACTTCACGCATGCGCAGGAGAAAACCCATCAACCAATAACGTTTATAAATCAATTTTGCGCATTCGCCTTACAACAGTAAAGAAATTCGTATTTATAAACGAACCAGTTTGAGATAACCCGATATCAGTCGGAGAAATCTGACGATCTACGAAACTCACTTCAAAAAATCAAATGCGGACTGACGGCGTATTCTACTATGTTTGGATCTAAGATTTTCAGTATAGATAAAGTCTTTTATGATCTTTCGAATGAGGTAAGTCTCTAGTTGGAAAGACAATCGTATCAACTTGAACAAAAGTTGAGTTTTGACGAAAAATTTTAACATGCGCAGAAGTCCCATTTTCGTTGTACCATATTGACTGTTTATTTATAGATGGCATCATGGTGATTGAGCCCAAGAGAAAACGCTTCACAATTAAACCTTATGGTCAACTCAAACTAAAAAACATTGATAATTCACATACGCACTACAGTTCTCTTTACTCTAAAAAAACATTATATTTCCTTCAGGGTGTTTCTGTATTGGCATATTTTACTGTATTCATTATTTCAGCAATACAGCAGGACAGAGTATTACTCAGAGGGCCTATGAACACTGGAAGGCAGGGAAAGTGCGGGAAGATATACGATACAAGGAAATGGAAGAAATCATCAATATTAGTGCATATAATGAAGACGAAGGTAAACAATTATTTTTATACTTTTTTTTATTTTAGATATTTCAAGATACCCCAGGCCCGGGTCTAGTCTACATGTAGCTACAAGCCCTTGTGACCCCCCCCCCTTTCCCACTAAGGGGACAAGCATGTTTAGTTACGTAAACCTTTGCCTATGTCTTGTGATTAAAATTGTCCAGAACATTCCGTATGTTATTTCATTTTTGAATGAAACCTCCAGAGGAAAGATGACATTTCATCTGGGAGGATAAATCCAATATTCTATCCCTACCATGGATGACCTTACTGTTTATATAGTTAAAAAATACTTAAAAAAATAAAAAGTTGATTATAACTGGACAAAGCACAATAAAAATGTACTTCATTAGATCCCTGGAAAGGGAAATATGCAGGACGTTTATAAAGCTGTATATCATTTTCATCAAGGTGCTTGATAAACCCTATACAACATTGTAATCATGGTTTTAATGTTCTTATTCTGTGTGAAGCAAATTATTGTTTTAGCAATGGTCTCATTACATCAATCTGAAAATAATTCACCTTTTCTTTTCAGGTGGCCTTTGGCACAGTGATCTTATAGAGAAACATCTTATTAATGCCTTTATTCCATTCCTTCCTCTTGAGCGGATACACATAAAACAATGCATAAAAGATGACTTAATTGAAAAATCTTTTCCCGTTACTGATGAAATTTTGGACAAAGTTGCCGACGAACTTATATATTACCCAGAAGGCTCCATGTTGTATTCTAAATCAGGTTGTAAAAGAGTCTCGGAGAAAGTTAATCTGGTGATGGAGGATATGAGATTTGCCGATTAGGATTTAAAAAGACGAGGAATGGTGTGAGACAAAAAATCAACATTGCTCACAAGATCTGATTCTCCCTTTACTATCGGTGCCATCTTTTAGTGGATCAGTGATTTATGAAGGTGTACTTCACAAAATGAAAATGCTGCTCAGATGCGAGAAGAAGTAATCTTGACTTACGTCATTAAAATTCACAATTCAGTCAAACTGATGTCATATTTGGAATCTACATTTAAAATTACATTTAGAAATGTGGTTTTGAAAAGAGTTTATCAACTTTGAAAATTTAATTTTCTTTGAAAATGTGACTTCTAGGTCGGCGAAATTCCCCATAGATCCCATGTTGTAAAACCACAAAAAGTGAAATATCTTTTCTTGTGTTGGGTAGATAATATTTTCTTTTAGTGGACATATTTTAATTTGTACAAGTGGCATCTCCAACTCCATATATGGGCAAAAAGGTGGAGTTAACAATAAGCAATGCAGGGATTGACACGATTGACACGAAGAAGTCTCGATGAATCTCGCTTAAACTCCGCCACTTCTTCGTGAAAAATCACGTGAATTCCGGCTTTTGCTGGGACATATCCGGGCATCTCGGCTTCGAACCCAATCAGAAGTTTCAAATGACTGGCGCCGCATACATTATCTCAAGTCTCACCCAATATTTTTATGTATACGTTAATAACTATCAGATACATAAAGGTAATATGAAAAGTGAACCACTAAAACTGATGCATATTCAAGTTTAAGGGAATTTTGTAATACCCTGCCATGTTAATTCCCCCGAATCAGCCACCTGGTGGCGAAACTGGTAACTACCTACTCGCATCTGAGTAATTGTGTGTGCCTCCTAAAATGTTACAATAAAAAATAAGTATTTTCTGAAATGTTGCGCAAATAATTCCAAAATCGTAAATGTTGCACAAAAAAGTTACAAAATCATAAAATGTTGCACAAAAAGTTACAAAATTCTAAAATGTTGCACTAAACAATAACAAAATCCTCAACACAAATAAATCCTGGGAGGGCATGTACATGTACTAACATGTACTTTTGTGAAATAAATACTGATGATTTTTTATTTTGCCACAATATATTGCTGATGGCAATGTTCTTCAAGAATCAGTAGCATAATTTATTGAATTATTCTTGGAATTTCATAGAGAGATTAATAGATGTCAGCTTTTAGAAAAAGGGTGTTGGTTACGACATGGTAAAAAGTTAACAATGTTGAAACCAATGTGGCAGTAGAATTGTAGATCAGTATTTTGTTTGTAAAAATGTGTGGCTACGGGCCTGTTGAGTAATGCCAAATGCTCTTCATCAAATTGAAAGTGACCCGATTTAGTCATTGTGAATGTACATTACATAATGGTTTTTTAGATACCTGGAATCAGTGGAAAGTGTTAAATATTTAAACGTGAACAGCTTAAGCTTGGTGTGTGTTTGGTATCATTTAATATATTTTACTCAAAGATGTTCAAGGAAGAAGTACATTATCTTAAGTATACTTCTTAACCTTGATAGTTATCAATCTGGGCAATGGAGAAGGGGGTCACCACATTGAATAGTCATCACTGGTAACAGCTATAACCAACAACTACAGTAAAACCTGTCCTTTAGTGAATATCATATCTGAAATACACTACATCTACTGAATGAAAAAAACTGAATTGGGCTTAATACAGTGAACACATGTAGTGGCTAGGATTGTGCTCATTCTGTACAGGTTTTATACAATAATTGATGTAATGAATCAATAATGTCATGTTATACTGTTATGACATCAATGAATGATGTCATGTTATATTGTTCATATTAAGAAGCCACGTGAATACTTGATTCCATGAGTGAGGCATCCATGCTGACAATAGAACTATAAGCTACAGATTTTTTTAAGAGAAATTGTACATGAACTTGTAGAGTTATGGTCCTGTGTGGATTAGTCCTCTCTTTCTTAATAGCATGTACTTGACAGATTGAGCATAAAGGTGTAAGGGAAAATTTTGAAAGGGGGTGTCAGGGGACAGCTATCCTTTAGGGTCATAAATATTACACATTTGTGTACAAGTTCTCTTAAAAACGTGAACAAGTTCTTTGAAAAAATACCCCAAAACGATTGGCAATAAAACTGAAAGACTTTTTTAAAAAGTCATACTCCTTTATTCTTTATTCTATCAAGACTAATAATAAGGTGTTAAAATCTTTGATTAATGATTTCAAGGATATTTCATATGTATTGTTTACTTGTAATACTTTCTGTTTTTTATCAACCTAATTTGCATAATTCGATATGCAGAGATAATACAAATACAGGTTGGAATGTGCTGCTTTTGATTTTGATGCACTTTCTATTGTTCAACTTTCACTTGAAAAAATGAAATTGTTTCTATTGTTCTTGTTTACAATGCCGGTTCCCCCGTGTAGATATGTCTTAAGCTGTTTGATTTTGTACATATGTTTTGGCTATAATAAGACTAATGAACTGGAGTCAGTATATACATACGCCTGTATCAACATTAAAACATGTATACTGTACTTTTTGCGTTCATTCAGAAAACTGAACTCTTCAAAATAATGCTGGTACTACAGTTTGTGTACTTTTAGGGAATACTGTTGAATTTTTTTGATTATTTTGTTGTAATTTAACGTTTGTTTGTGTTTGCTCAGCAAATAAATTATTTTTCTAAAAAAATGTAGAAAATGTTAGGTTATCCTTTGCATAAAGGTCTAGTTGGTTTTAGAGCAATGCATTATGTTTTGGACTCAATTGCCCAACTTTTGCCTTGTTTCCACTTACCGGTAACATTACCTACACAACTAATTGTATTGTCACATTAAAGGATTGAAAGAAGCATTTACATTTTGTATTTAAAGCATAATTTGGATGGTTGCATCATTGAATAGTACTCAGAAATACCATATAATTTACATGATTGAATATATTACTTGCTAGATGATATAGAAAAGGCATACACATTTTTACATTAGGCCATAAGAAGTCGATTCTTTGTTTTGCGTCCTGGCAAAATCCAAATCATGCAAGGGTACAAGGAAAACGAACACAAACTAAAAAAACACAAATTTGTTTGCTGAGAAATGTTTACATTTGATGGCATAAAAAGGGATGACATACCAATTTGCAGTGATTAGAAACACATATCTATATGTATACAATATATTTAAACAGCTATAATTATTCAAGGGTAGAAAATAAGAAAATACACAATGACGCACATCAAATTATCCGCCATTTTGTCTGATTCTGATTTGTACGAAATGCAATGGTACTAGCTTTCAGACCCTTGTGATTGCTATTTGGATGTGTTTGTTTTTTCTGATTTACTCAAAATTGTGCAAGCAAGGGCACGCAAAACAAAGAATCTACTTCTTATGACCTTAATGTATTTTCTAATTATAAGTTTATTCTAATTTGACGATATTTAATCAGATATAATATTGTCCCACACTAACTCACATAGACAGAATCATGTCACGGGTATCACATCCTGGTCAACTGTCAAGCTTGTGAGAGAACTGTCTGTTCCAAGGGATAATACAGACTGGATCGCACAGTGGCCATGCTTACAGAAGTTGCACGTCTTGTTTAACATGACCAAATTCCATGATATCTCCCAGTCTAATATCAGAGCCTAGATATCCTTCTTTAACATTTTCAATACTCTTTTGAACAAAGGAATTCTTGCTGCGAACCAATGCAAAACTGGTATATCGTTTCCATCACACATCTCTCGTTGGTTCAACAAGTCACGGTAAAGGTAGGAGATGCGTTCTTGTTCCCGTTTTGGGTAAAACATTGCTGCGATCTTGTGCTGAATTTTGCGACCATACGCGTACGGATTAAGAAATGTCAGGAACACAATCCCGATACACATACCGATTAAGCATCCAAGTTTAGTCGAGTCCTGATAGAATGGAGGTAAAGGAATGGGAAGGCAACCCTCCGTGTTGACTTCAAACGAGTAGTTAAAGCTGGTCGAGTTACTTGGAAACAAGTGATACAACTGCCTGATGCCAGGACTTGTATTGTTAAATACAACTTCAAAACCACTGCCTCCGCCAATCACTACGCTCACATTTGCTTCCCTTTGTAGAACTTCTATCGTTTGGTAAAGTAAACCATCAAATACACAAAACAGCACAACCATCGCAAAAAATGTCGGAATGAATAAGTGAAATACTTCCCATAGGATCACTAGGAGCTGAGAACATGACGGACACCTTTGCCACCATGACTTAGAATCGATCAACTGAGTTCGCTCTTGTCCCCTTAACGGGAGTAATTTACTCTCGTTGTTTTCCCAGTCCAATTTTTTGAACTCCTCAGATGTAAAATAGATGTTGTCGTCGTGGTAACGTAAGTACCGATAAAGGAAGTAACACGCTTGGATCAGCATGCAAATGGTTATCGCAAAGGCCACAATCCAAAGCATATACGATAAAAGTTGTTGGATGAAATTTGTTGTATCAACAAACAGCGCACTCACTTTGGCACCAATAGTAAAAAGGCTGTCAGTTCCTTTAACAGAGGGATGTTCAATGTGCCGTATCGTATTAACGTCATTTTCGTAATCTTCAACATCGTGTAGAGAGAGTGTCACATTATTCACGGTTATACTAGCATTAACGCCATTGATATCGAGAATTACATGCTTTAACGCAGATGAAAACATCTCAAGTGTTTGTTTAGGAACATCAATGATTTTCTTTATCGTCTCAATATTAAGAGTGGTCATTCTTTTCACAGCGTCTTCAAACTCCTTGTTGTATGCACCACCAGACGCTGACTGCATAGCCATAATTTCCTGGCTGATCATTCCAATTTGGCAAGGTATGATATCTGGAATCATTTTTGCATTGTTCCATGAATTCGTTATAGGACCAGCATACAGTGACTGTATTATAAGAATGAACAGAATGAGTCTTCCAAGATAGAAGGCCATACCTGGGAGTGACAAAAGAGCGATACAACGTACACCACTGAAAACGGCTTAAGTGTGAAACAAAATTTGTTAAAAATTCAAAAAAGCAATAAAATGATTTTTTCAAATAGACATGTAGTATGTATCTGTATACATTTACACACACGTTACCCAAAGCATTGAAGTAAACTCCGAGGAACAATAGGGGGAATTTCAAATTGAAATTAGGGCCCGTCTCAAACGTGACGATTTTCACAGTTTCAGTCCGTGATTATATGCCAAGATATTCACATTAGAATGCAACATTTTCAAAAAACCAAGGACTTTCCTCTTGCTACTCTCCTGTCCTTTAAAATCATAAATGAATTTGGACTCTAAGTATTTTCCTTAAAATGTGCATCACTTGTCAACATGAAACATCCGAATCCATCATTTTTCTCGATTTTTTTCATACGTTGTGTTTTTAATTTGAGTAAAATTGAAAGGGGTCGATCCTATTTGAACATGAATCGATTCGGTCATGAAAAATGATGCTTTAGACGAATAGAAAATGATAAAAAATTTATTTTGGGAGCAATGATCATTCGACTGGTTCACCAATTTTCCGCGTGTCGTTTTTCACAAGAAAATTGGAAACAAATGACAATGAGGTATATGTTCACTTAAGAGAAGTCTTAATTCAAGAATGGTCATTTTTGATGACTATAGCTAGGTGAATTGAGAAACAAGTTTGTATTTTTGTCTTATATTATCACCTTTATGTTTAATTTTCCCTCAAAACTCGACATAAAGTATGAATAGTAGAATCGTGCCGAGTTTCACTTTCTCCAAGGAAAAAGCAGTTACGTACATGTTACATATGTGGACTCATATGCAATCATAGTTTACATGTACTGAACACCTCTTTTCTATTTTCAATAACTATGTGCAACACCGCATTATTTATCTTTTTGAATCAACTTCACCAAAACTTTTCACTGATTCAAGAAACCAGCGCTTTTACACTTTACATCGATGGTGCAAATGCCATGTCGTCAAGCACCTAATCGCCCTAGTTGCCTTTTAATCTCTTTTAGTGTATGAGGTAAGACACTTTGATTTATTTTTTACAATTTGAATTTTTTTTACTATGGGTGTTTACTTGACAACTGCAGGGTGACGTAGTGAAGTCTTTCCTGCATGCGCCACAAACAGCAGGGCAACCATGTACATGTTCATTCCAAATGACATTAAAGGCATTCAATCATGCATCAGAAAAGTCCCTTATAAAGATTTCAAATTTAAAGAGAAACTTTTTCATTTAAAATCTGTTAATGATAACTCTACTTGATTGTACGTTTTCATTTGAAAGATATAAGAATGATATTGCTGACGTATTTTTAAGTCTGACGTAGCCAAAGCATAAAAATCATCTGCACTGTGAATATGAAATTTTCTTTTGGTCTGCGGAGCGCTTCATCGATGCCCCGATCTCATCACAAGGTCATTTTTCATGGCCACTGAAAACGTTCTTATCGTTATGTTTTGCTTCATTCGAGCTGAGTTAAGTCGCTAGTCCTAGAACGAATTTTTTTGTCAGACTCGATACTTTTTCAACGGTTTCTGATATCACATAGCAAAACTCTCAGCATAAACTCAATTCTTTCCTGTGATTTTCATTTTTTCTTTGAAGTTCTGGAAGTTTAATGTTCAGTGCAATGAGTTATCCCGGTTTTGTTTTAGAGAAAGAGAACATTGAAAGAATTAATCTCGCGTTGTTGCCTCCATTCTCGAAGCGTACATTTTGTGCTGATTTCTTTTTGCTAGTCTGTTGGCGATATATTTCAGAGAGGAGAGTTTTTTGCATTGCTTGCCTTACATTTTCTTTAATATTCTCGGGGATTGCTTAACGAATTGCTTTTCGCAAAGGCATATTGAATATTACATATCATATACAGATCGTGCAAATGGAATTGAAATAAATAAAAATTAATTATAACACGAAAACATCGTTGAAAAGCTGTAATCGTTCATATTACTTAACTAGAGTTTTCGGTTTATGCTGTTCTCCATTAATAATAATTGCATTTATTGAAAAGAAAACAGAGTGCAAACATTAAGTGACTTTATGATTGAATTCAGCGATCCCCGGGAATACACTGAACGAAATGTTATTTACTGAGGGTCAACTATTTTGGGCTTTAATGGTCTTCATATAACATTTTTTCTTATGACTTTTCCGATAAATTATGCTTATGGAATTCCCAAATAACTTGTCATTTGCTTGCATGTTACGTATTATTGTAAAGACGTATAAAATGTAAAAAGCACATTTACAAAAGTGCAAATTCGTTAGGTGTTTCCGTTTCCTTGCCTATGAGATGATCTTTATGCGTAGTCACTGAATAACTTTTGAACATGTGTTTTAAGAATATGGGTCATAATATAAAATTAAATCAATCCACCTGGGATTTATAGAAATAGTTGATTACTGCTTTGAGTTCAATGCTATAACCGTGACGTTTTTCACGCGTGACGATTGTCACAGTTTTGCACAATATCAGTTCATAGATGAGGTAATGCTTGTTATATCGAAAATCCTTTTATGTTATGATGGAGTGGTCATATTGTTTTTCTTGAAAATTGCCCCATTTCCAACAAGACTACTGTCAATATATGAGTAACATCACGGTCGTTTTTCACAAGCAAAACGGTGATTTTTCAGAATTTTTCAGATCATGTTCATTATAATTCAATCACAACTATTATCACGATTTGTAACACTTTGGTCTGATAAACCGAACTAAAGACTTTATAACCACGGATAATTAATCTATCTCGAGTTTCCCTACTGTCGTCTGGGCCTGTTTTAACGACCGTGACGTTTTTCACAGAATAAATTGTACACTTACTATAATGGGTATATATAATCGGTAGTAGGTGAGAAGCAAATACATTGCTGTCATCACACTCTGACTGAATGTTTTCTATGCCAAAAGAACCAAAACGAAAAGATGCGACCATTTATAACTGAGATATGACATGTTTTCACGGGCGTGTTGTCCTGTTACATCAGCAAATTCACGAAATTCACAACTTATTAGCGAATTTTCAAAGTTATTTATAACCGGACTGATCAATAAGTATGCTGACCGAATGAAGATAAAGGCATATTATTTTAAAATACATAAAACAATTAGAAAAAATCATTTTAGTTTTAGCTATTTTCAATTACATGAAAAATGCCCATTTTTAACATTTATTGGTTTTGAATGACACGTCCAGATATCGCTACAGCTAGGCTTATCAGGAATGATGTAACAATGGCAACTATCATAGATGCAGTTGGTGGATAGTTAATTGTTGCACTGAAGTATATCGCTTCTTTGTCTGGGCTTTGCGCATTTGTAATATTTTCTACTGTCCCTTCGCTTTGATTTCCTCCAGTCTTTACCTCTTCACTTACAAAGTAACCGTCTGTGTAGAAAATAAGGCACACAACCCCCATAATTATAAGGAATGCAACCCCAAGAATCCCAAGCCTCTTCAACGTAGTACAAATACATGCATTTGATTTCCCCTTGCCTTCAGTTTCCTGGTTGTTCGCCATATCACCTTCACAAAGTGAAACTGTTACATCGTATTCATCACATATCTCTCGTTGAATCAACAAGTAACGGTAAAGTAATAAAATGCGTTCTTTTTCCCGTTTTGGGTAAAACATTGCTGCGATCTTGTGCTGAATCTTGCGACCATACGCGTACGGATTCAGAAATGTCAGGAACACAATCCCCCCACACATACCGATTAAGCATCCAGCAAGTTTAGTCAAGTCCTGGTAGAATGGAGGTAAAGGACTGGGTAAGCAGCCCTCCGTGTTGACTTCAAACGAGTAGTTAAAGCTGGTCGAGTTACTTGGAAACAAGTGATACACCTGCCTGATGCGTGGACTTGTATTGTTAAAGGCAACTTGGAAACCACTGCCTCCGCCAATCACTACGCTCACACTGGCTTCCCTTTGTAGAACTTGCATTGTATGGTAAAGTAAACCATCAAATACACAAAACAGCACAACCATCGCTAAAAATGTCGGAATGAATAAGTGAAATACTTCCCAAAGGATCACTAGGAGCTCAGAACATGACGGACACCTTTGCCACCATGACTTAGAATCGATCAACTGAGATCGCTCTTGTCCCCTTAACGGGAGTAATTTACTCTTGTTTTCCTCGTCCAATCTTTTGAACTCCTCGAATGTAAAAAAGATGTTATTGTCACAATAGCGTAAATAACGATATAAGAAATTACGCGCCGAGAGAACCACACGTATGGCTATTGCAAAGGCCACGATCCAAAGCATATAGGATAGAAGTTGTTGGATGGAATTTGTTGTATCAACAAACAGAGCATTCACTTTGGCACCAATAATAAAAAGGCTGTCAGTTCCTTTAACAGAGGGGTGTTCAATGTGCCGTATCGTATTAACGTCATTTTCGTAATCTTCAACATCGTGTATAGAGAGTGTCACATTATTCACGGTTATACTAGCATTAACGCCACTGATATCGAGAATTACATGCTTTAACGCAGATAACAACATCTTAAGTGTTTGTTTGGGAACATCAATGATTTTCTTAACGGTCTCAATATTAATAGCGGTCATTCTTTTCACAGCGTCTTCAAACTCCTTGTTGTATGCACCACCAGATGCTGACTGCATAGCCATCATTTCCCGACTGAACATTTCGACTTGACAGGGTATCATTCCTAGAATCAGTTTTGCATTGTTCCATGAATTCGTAATAGGACCAGCATACAGTGACTGTATTATAAGAATGAACAGAATGAGTCTTCCAAGATAGAAGACCATACCTGGGAGGGACAAAAGGGCGACGCAACGTGCCCGTTCAGATATCGCTACAACTAGGCTTATCAGGAAGGATATAGCAATGGCCACTATCAAAGATGCAGTTGGTGGATAGTTAATTGTTGCACTGAAGTATATCGCTTCTTTGTCTGGGCTTTGCGCATTTGTAATATTTTCTACTGTCCCTTTGCTTTGATTTCCTCTAGTCTTTACCACTTCACTTACAAAGTAACCGTCTGTGTAGAAAATAAGGCATGAAGACCCCGTAATTATCAGGAATGCAACGGCGAAAGTCCCAACCTTCTCAAATATCGAACAAATAATCGTTTTAGACTTCCCTTTGGCTACACGTATATGTTCACGTTTGTTCAACATATCACCATTAAGAGTATCAAGTTCGAGACCTGTAGATTCGTCGTCCATGGTCGCCTACTAGTCGGGGCCACTTGGTCTCCTTGTAGTCTGGATCTCTGTCTGGGTTGACAACCTTGAGAGACAAAGATCATACAAGAACAGAGTGTGCCAAATAATTACACAGTTAGCATTTTACCAATGCCGAATGTATGAATAGTTTTTTGATTATTCCAATCGTGTGGATTTCATCGTAGGAAACATGTGATGTACAAGTGTATTGATAAATCATATCTAATATGATATATCTTATATATGTTAAAGAATAAATAACAACCGGTGTAGACGGATATATAAACTCTCGTGTTTAGGACAATTCCCGCGGGACAATTTCTTCCGTGTAGTCCCAAAAACATGTATGTCGCTAAATGGGTCAATTCTGATTTTTACCACTCATGACCATTACTCACCTCAACTCAACGTGGCCTGTTTGGGTTAGGATGACCTCGAGCGTCGGTGTTGTGAGAAATTCGAAGGTGTCGCGTGGGTGCAGAACTGCTCAGTTTTTTTCTGTGTTTATCAGTACTTGTTCTCAGAAAGCACTTGATTACTAGCAATCAACCATCTTGAGACATCACGCCGCTATCTCTATCTAACACCAGTTATCTTACTAGAAAACAGAATCATGACATCATCTTTCATCATGTTCAGCAACCCGATGTTTATTAATTAGTACCAACAAAAAGTTCCGAAAAGCAAACCCAATGTCCTGTTAGAGAACCCCTATTCTAAGTTTCGAAAATGGATTCTAGCAATACTATCCCACATGAATCTACTTGTTGAGACTCGATCAACTTGAGTTCTTCTGAGAAAATGAGGATTTTAGCAAGGGTGTATTGAATCAACATGGGGACACGACATACACCATTGACCATTGATTTAGCGTGGGGATACCATCAGGTATGTCACCATGTAAAAACTGTACTCCCCCCCCCTTTATCCTTCTCTCTGTATAATTGCCAGGTAGAGAGGGTGAAGGTGACGGGGGGGGGGGTAGGGGTGGATACAGTCTTTAAGCAAGACTACCTTTTTCAAATAGTATGGAATGATCTTGCAAGTGTAGGTTGGTGTGTTAATTGGCTTATTTGTACGTTAGTCTAGCTGAAAAAAACCTGTTCCCTCCCTCCCTACAACGCATTCCAACATGTGTAGTCAAGCAGAGGGAGGGGGTCACTTGTACTTGTACTACAGTAAACTTTTAAATGTTTGGAACTACTTTGAATTAAGAAAATAAGCAATCAAATGACTACGTATATTGCAACAGTATATGAAAACATATATACAAGTCCTAACTTTCGTATATTTCATATATTTATGTATAATGTGCAGCGAAGCTGTGGCCTTTTGTAATTTAGGGAATTTCAGTCATGGCAGAGAAGCATCAAAATATAAGAGGCAACAGATATCATAGCTAAACCACAAAACAAACTAAAATATACAAAAGTTAGAACATGTATAAATGTTTCTATTTTTACATATTGTGTTTCAATATGGTCCTTTTATTGCTTATTTTTAGATTCAAAGCTTGAATGGGCATATTGTAGTAAAAATCTTAAGATTAAAATCAGCTGCCCCATTTACAATTTAAAACAATAATGTATATTAGGCTCAAACTATAACTCACCTTAGAGGGCCAGCCACTCAGACTGGCTCCAAGATCCAATGAATTTTTATTTATATCAAAAAATTGAAACGACTATTGTGTGATGTTTCACTGCGTTATGTGTTCGAGAACAATCCTTACAGTAGCACACTACCCTACCTCGATAGCGCATGCGCGAATTTTTTGGCTTTCAATCAGGTCGCTTTTGAGTATATCGACTGCTTAGTGAAAAGGTTAATACGTTTGGTGCTCGGAGTGAGTCAATATTGCTATTCGCTGAACTTCAGTGGTGCAATAGTGAAGTCCATGTTCCAAGTTATATGATAGTTGAAGAAAGAATGTAAATAATATCGTTTTAAATTTTAAAATATTTGATACGTCATAGTACACGGTACACAGCTGCAAAAGTTGATCAATACAGGGTACGAGGAATGTAAATTGTTCAATAGTACAGGGAGCGAGAAAGTAAGCTGATTATACAGACATACTATGTCCCGATCTCATGTATATTTACGTTGCAAACAGTGAAAATAATGCTAAAAAGGCCGCCTGTTGATGCTTTGAGGTGTCATCAATTGTTATTTAATCCAAAAAAGTAAACATTATTTAGTAGATTTAGACACGGGCTTTTAGGTCCTATATGCATTATAGTCATTAAATTAACAAGAACGCTAGATTATACGTGTTAATAGGGTATCAAATTGAAATAAAATAACGAAATTAAATATGAACACGTGATAAATGACTATCGGCTATCAGGATTAATGACTATCCGCTATTCAGAATAATTAAAATTGCGTGAACTACATGTAAAGAATCTTTCTATATAACCCCTTGAATGGTCTAATTCACTACCGTCCTCAAAAACCGATCATTTAAAATAGTTTGTTCAAAATACCATCATGTCACGACATTTTGTTCTTCACGATTTGCTGTAGAGGTGATATGACGTCGTATTTCTCTATTATTGTAAAAAAAACTAATACCAGATCGATGTAGTCTTATATGACGTGTTGAATGTCAGATGTTTTTGCATGGTATCTGCTCCAGTGATTTTGCATTTAATCATGAAACGCTCATCACAAGACACCTCGAAACAAACATTATCCTCCTTGAGGAAAAATGTTTCACAATATGTTATGCCTTACGGCAAGATACATTTATGGGACGACTTTTTGCATCTTAAGATTTTAGAAAAACAATTAATTCACAAAAGTACAGTTGAATAATATACTGGAAAACGTATCTACATATAACACGATGACACGCAGTTCAAATAACAGTTTACTGGGGTTTTGTTACATATCAATGTAACATTTTCGAAGGGAAACTTACATGCTCCCTGTACGTTGACAGATTTACTGAAACGTATCGTGTATTGCATTGAGTTTTGCTTCACTGCGCCCACTATTATCTATCTTTGCCTATAGTGGTTTTTTGCCAACAATATTCTACAAACTGCTTGATGAATCAATTCTATGTCTGGTAGAACACTAGAAATAAATGTAAAATGTATTTTACATTCAGAAATATGGAATTAAACCCACGTCCTCCATTTGCAACTTAGCTGTACCCTGTTTCCCTTTTAAACGTGGTCACGTGGTAGGGTAGTGTGCAGTAGGTAGTTGTTTAGTAATCTTGATTTTTCCTCCGACCAACTCGTGTAGTCTTTCTCGTGTGCAATAGAGCAATGTCAGCACAGGAATGTCTCCGTCTGTTGATAAGGAGTATGTTAGTGTGGGCGCCTATTTGATTATTATTTGGAAATTTGCATTTATTTATGATTAATCATAAAAAGTATTAAAAAGACGTGTGTACTTTGATCAATTAAAATCGATACAATGGGTTGCATCAATGCGTGTACGGCTTCTCCGAATATTATCGTGTAATCAATTACAATTCGAAGTTCAATAAATACATTCCACACATTCATTCATGATCACATGCAGTAAGACACGTCTCTTGTTTTTTACCCTACGCAATAGTATTAATGTGATCTCCTGGATTGGCAAATCGAATACCCGGGATCGAATACAACTTGGAATATTACTGACTGCTTATAATTTATAATATGATGAGTGCATGTTGCATTCAAAATAATAATAAAAATGTAGGCTCCCTTATCCCTGTATCCAAACCACGGCAGAATGACATTTAAGAAATAAAGAGATAAAATCGTTCACAATATATAATGTTGCTTTTCCCGGGTGCTGATTCCACTCCGACATTCTGCAGTCTGGCAGAATACCACAGCCTGATTGAAAAGTGACTATTGTTAGGTGCTGCCATCTTTATAACGCCACATTAATATATCAATCTAACATTGTACATCTTATATGTTCATCCCATCCAATCTTTCTGTCATAAGATGTTTGATCTCCATGCTCTATGGAATTCTCAATGCAATATTTGATCACGCTTAACATGCATAGGTCATTTTTGGTTATTGTTTTATTGTATATGTTAATTACAATAGCCATTGTTGGGGAAGGCCAAGGGTCCAAGAACTTTATCACCCCCTCTCTATGCCATCCCTAGAATCCCTACTGCGCATAGGTAGGCCTATATGACCTTTAAACGGATTTAACAATGAGGGAAATGTGGCTTTGACTTGAATCTTTATCATAAACCCGATTTAGCTTTTTAACACATCCTTCCCCGAGTTTTCATGCCAAAGTACTAGATTGGTTTCAATTGAAATTATCTTTACAACCGTGACAATACTTCAGATCATGGGTGAAAAATGTTTCTACTAGTACTTTCCTTGTGAATGTCGAGTTTCACATCATACGAATGTAATTTTAGGCGATCTGTCTGCATTGGGTGATTATACAACGTGAACAATCAATTTTTCATAATTCCCCATTATGTTACCTCATGCATGAGTTGGTCGGTCTTCACAGTGTTCTACGTAATGTAAAAGTTTTTTTGTGGCCAGGCACTCAAATCTCACCTAGAGTTCATTAAATTGTTCGATCATCACATTTCAATCATTTTCATACATGTATTCGCATTTTAAATCTCACATAAAAGAACAAACACATTTTCCTTCTTTAACAGAAAAAATCAATCAAAAATGCATTATGCCTTATGAATCCCCCTAATCACGAGTTCATGATCTGTCTCAAAGAAAGAAGCTTAAATATATCTTCTACCCGTAGAGGAAATCTTATTGGACCACGTTTTCTAAGCCATGGTAGAGTAAAAAAGAATGGAATTAGCAAGGAATAAAGTATACAGTGAAGTAGTCGACACTCTAAACTGTATGAAAATCTTAAAAACATGCAGTTTTGCGATTTTTTAAGAGAGAAAGAACGTGGAATAGCCATCGCCATTTGATATTTTTCGAACGGGCTGGCAT